TTTTTTTTTTTTTTTTTTTTTTGAGACAGGGTCTTGTTATGTAGTTCAGGCTGGCCTTAAACTATGTAGGCAAGGCTGGCCTCAAAGTCACAGCAATCTTCCTGCCTTAACCTCCCAAATGCTGGGATTACAGGCATGCACCACCACACTCTGTCCCTGAGGTAAATTTTGTAAAGAAGAATCAGGATAAATGATTACCTCTTTCCTTTTTCTTACCAGTGTACAATGTTTCTTTCTTTAGAAAGTGTTTCTTTTTAAAAGTATAATATGTGTTCTTATTAAAGTAATACATGTCCATAGTTTAAAAAGAGAAAGAGGTCCGTAAAGTGGCTGACATCTGTAATCCCAGCATTTGGGATGCTAACACAGGAGGAGAATGAGACCCTGTCTCAAAATTTAAAAAATTAAAAAGGGCTAGGGGTGTAGTTCAGTGTTAAAGTGCTTGCCCCTTATGCACAAGACCCTGGATTTAATCCCTAGCACCGTCCCCCAAGTAAAATATGTAGAACAGTGTTTTGGTTTTTTTTCTTTTGGTAATGGGGATTAAACCCGGGGTCTTCACACTAAACTACATCCCCAGCCCTTTTTTGAGGCAGGTTCTTGCTAAATTGCCCAGGCTGGGCTCAAATTTCCGCTCCTTCTGCCTCAGTTTCCTATAGTGCTGGGATTACAGGCATGTACCTCAACACCCAGTTTGTAGATTTAAAAAGTAGCACTTTATTTGCCCTCAGTACCTCTCTGGATTCATTTTAGAGTGATAATCTTTGCCATACTTGGCTGTTTCTTCTAAGATCTCCTTTTCTTTTTTTCTTTTTTCTGGTATCAGGGATTGAACTGGGGACATTGTGCTTGCAAGGCAGGTGGCAGAACCACTGGGCTAAATCCCTGGCCCTAAGATCTCCTTCTATATTTGTGAATAAAGCTATACTTCTGTTTTAATTTTGCCCCATTTTACACATTATCTGTTCCCGCTATGGAAGATGTCTTTCTTTTTGTTTTTCTTTTCCTGCCCCATTTTCTCCTTTTTGCCCTGAGTAGGGACATAGCTAGAGTTCATGTTAACCCTATACCCCTTTTCTCTACATTTTTTTTTTCTTTTGAGACAGAGTCTCACTATGTAGTCCAGGCTGAACCCAGGCTGTGTAGCCCATGCTGGCCTCAAGTTCACAGATACTCCTGCCTCAGCCATTCAAGTGCTGGGATTATAGGCATGTACTACCCCACCTGGCAATCCATAGTGTCTTGATGCTGTGAACTCCCATAAGTTAGTTTTTCTGGCTCCCAGAGTTCTAATCCAGCATCTGCATTTGCCTCTTGGGCATTTCTACCTCAACTACTGCCTTCTCAGACTCAACATGCCAAAGAGCAAGCTCACCATGAGAAGAGCAGTAATGAACTATGCTATGAACAGAAGGTTCCATATGGGACCTATGTTTTGAGTTGGTGGCTGGGCAGCTTCACAGGTACAGCAGGGGTTACTGGAGATGAGCAGTTCATAGATCCTTGGGAGAGTAGAAGAGATATGGCCTGACCAGAGCAGAGACTTGGTGTGTGTTGGGGAGAGGATGGGGTTGGAGTAAGCGATTCAGCATCAAATCGTGGAGGGCACTGAACTCCAACCCAGAGAATGTGGGCTTTATCTCATGAGTGATGAGTAGCTGCTATCGTAGCAGAAGTGGCACAGTGAAGATGGTGATACTAGTTTGATCTAGCTATAGGGGGCATTTTAGAGGGGCAGAGGAGAGACATGGGATGCAATGTGTTCAGCTCTTGGTAGCTGAGAACAGAGCAAAAGGAACAGGGACAGTGTGCTTACCACGTGGACCAAATACTGCAAAGCTCTCCACGTGCTTTGCACCTCTGCCTGATGATCGTACTTTTGGGTGTCTCTCTAGCCACTCTAGTACATACAATGCTGGGATGAGAAAGAAAAGGTATTGTGAGTTTTCTCAGTGCTTGCTTTTAAGGTCTCAGAATGGGTGGGGGCATCTCATACTGTGTACTTTGTATCCCCAAGACCAAAGACAAAAGAGCAAAAGAGTAATATCCCTGATATGTATGAGGAAAGAGAAGTGGAATCTGGTTTGCTGGAGAACACAAGAGTTAAGATTTAGACAGGTTGTTGTCAGACGTGCCCAGGAGCCACATTGGCTCTGTCCCATACCTGGCCCTACAGGCCTTCTCTCACTGCTAAAGGTTGAACCCAGGGCCTTCACAATGAGTTACATCCCAGCCTGTTATCTGTTTCTTTATTTAGAGATAAGTTCTAAAGCGAGGGAGGGCAGGGATTTAGCTCAGTGGCGCAGAGCCTGCCTCACAAGTGCAAGGCCCTGAGTTTGATCCCTGGTATTGCAAAATAAAATAAAATAAAATAAAAGATATGCTAAAGATAAGTTCTCACTAAATTGCTAAATTGCCCAGGCTGAGCTCCATCTTACAATCCTCTTACCTTAGCCTCTCAGAGTGGTAGGATTACAGCATGTGCTACCATGTCTACATTCTTTTCCCTCTTAAGATTTCCTGGCATCCACATTTTCTTTAAAGAGGTGCTACCATATACCCCATTTCTTGGGGTTCCTCGCCTCCAAGATGGGTTATACAGCAGGAATGTTTTTTTTTTTTTTTAGAAATCTTCTTTGTTGTATTCTCTCCCCAAAAACACAACCTACTCAACAAGCACCCCCTGCACCACAAAAACCCAAACAATACCAGCACATAGGTCTTTTCTTGTTTATAACTGCTCTAGAGAAATGGTAGTAGGATGTCAAGAATATTTAATGGGAGGACATTCCAAAGGTTTCTGAATTCCAGAACATTAAAATAGTCAATGCTCCTGATCTACATTCCTGTCTTCTTTTTGTAGATAACTAGGAGATTGTTACAAGTCCCCCCTTTTCCCTCAACCTCTGCCCATTTGCAAATCACACAGATCCCTTTGTCTGTCAAGTGTTATTACACATTGGTGTTAGGTGGTGCTTTTGCACATTGAGGGGGTGGTAGTCTCTTGTTTTCCCTAAAGTTTCAATAGAATAAAGTGAACCTTGAAGATTTTCCATCCACTGAATCAAGGTGAGGAGAGCAGGGTAATCCTAGGACAACTGTATCTACTGCAGTTTGGATCTAGATTACCTGGAAAACTCAATGAAAGCTATAGCATTTCACCTTAGAAAATTCCCATACTCACACAATTATGCATTTAATTCTAGGGTTTTATGGACACCAAATTGAAAACCTTACGTTTATAGCAGTATCAAAATTTGGAAAACTCCTAACAAATAGGCCCCATTTACTTTCTTCCTATTCCCACAGCTCCTGCCTGAAGAGTCACTAAGTCTTTTTTTCCAAGAATGTCATAAACAAGCCACACAGGGCTTCAAGCTTTACATGCCACAGGGTCGGTACTGGAGGCTTCGTCTCTGTCCTGGTAACTTTCCCTTCTAGATTCTCCTTCCAGGGTTCCCAGGGGGTAATTGTGTCCCAGTCCTTCCCAGCTCCACACCTCTGCCTCCATTCTTGTCTTCACCTTCTGTGCTCTCCCCTCCTGAGATCCTAGCCTCTTCTCCCAAATACTTCATTTGGAGATCCATTGGATCCCTGTAGCTCATATTCTGTCCTTTCTTGTCTCTCACTCCAGAACTTCCCCGAGTTCCTAGTGAGTATGCTGGATTGGTGGTTCACACCGTACTGGATCCTGTGTTGCAAGGAGTTCAGGGATTGCCACCCCAAGCCCAGGCCCTCGCCCTCAGTCAGGCACTGACAGCCATCCTGGGTGCCTGGCTTGACCACATCCTTACCCATGGGATCCGGTTCAGGTGGGAAGAAAAGGCAGCAGTGGCAGGGGGATGAATGGATCTGGGAAGAGGAGGGCGATAGGCTGGGTAGAGCAGTTTGGAGAGGTTGGAGGGGTTAGGTGGCCACATTATACCTGGACATTTAGCCTGCAGGGAGCACTGCAACTCAGACAAGACTTCGGAGTGGTCAAGGAGTTGCTGGAAGAAGAGCAGTGGGACCTGTCACCAGAGCTTCGTCAAACTCTGCTCATGCTCAGCATCTTCCAGCAGCTAGATGGGGCCTTGCTGTGTCTATTACAGCAGCCCCTGCCCAAGACTCGAGGCCACAGGACATCCCCTTGTTGCTGTATGTCATTTTCTTTCCCCAGCCCCAGCCTGTCCTGCTTCCCAATTGCTTTAAGTGACCCACACCCTACTTACCTTTGATCTGATTTTAGCATCTCACTAATAGCTAGCCACTTGCTTTCCACTCCTACTAGGTGTTGGTAATGAAGTCCAGACCACAGGATTGGCCAGCAGCAGCCTCAACAGTCTGGAGAACCTGGAGCCCCCTGTACTGCCCGGAGTACCCCCAGCCCAGACAACCCAGTTGCAAAGCACCTTGGGAGGTGGAAGACCTAGCCTTGAGGCTTACCTGGTAGGAAATCAGCAGGCCTGGCTTGCTCTTAGGCAGCACCAGCAGCCCCGTTGGCATCTGCCTTTTCTTTCCTGCCTGGGGATCAGTCCTGAATCCTAAGGAATCAGGACCAGGAGCTCCTCATCTCTGATTGGAAAACCATTGACATTTGAAACTATAATTTCAAGAAGCCTAGACCTGAGAGCTTAGAAGAAAGAATAAACTATATAGAGCCTGGAATTACAAGCTAAGAATCCAAGGTCACTTGCAGCCTGAAGGTCAGCATCCTTGGGATATCTAGGTCCTCATTCTGAAGAGATCTCAGGGCTAGAGGGTTAGATCTCAGGAAAAGGGGGAAAACAATAGACAAGCAAGATGACACTTCCATGTAAATATCAGAAGCCAGGCTAAAGAGTTAATTCTTGGGGAGCCACAGAGTTGGAATAATCACATGGATCAGTCTCCAGGGGTGTGTTAACCTGTATTCCCTCCCCATTACTATTTTCAGTCATTTAAGAATATTGGGCTGTAGGACCTTCAGTTTAAGCTTTGGTTATTCGGTTACCTAAATGAAATTTACCTCCTGGCAGACAGATAATCACTGCTATGGTAGTGTCCTCTCCTTGGAAGGTGCCAGGATTTCAGCTGGAGTTAACATAGATGTGAACATCAAGATACGGAAAGGGAAAGGCTGCGGCTGCAGAAGACAGGTGTTTTCCATGCAAAGGTGTTTCACACTATTGTTTTCACTGTAGTACAAGTGGAGTTAACCATAGGTAGTGTTTACTGACCTTTTTGGATCCCGTCATGTCCTGTAACGAAATCACCTCTCCCTGCCTTCCTCCCCCGGGGCTGGGGACCCGGGAACACTTTGGAGGCAGACAGACTGGGAGTCTCTACCCGAAAGAAGGGGGGCGGGGTTGGCGGAAGGCACAAGTCAATCTTCAGCAACTGCATCGCGGTGACACGCCCTGCCGCCGGAGTCTTTCCGGGGCGGAGGTCACCATGGCGGCCGCCATGGCTCGGCTTGGTCTGCGGTCGATCAAGGAAGTTCGGGTTCAATTCTGCCCTTTCGAGAAGAACGTGGAGTCCACGAGGTACTGGAGAGGTGAAGGGAGACGGGTCGGGAAGGGCTCTGCCCTGCACCCTCTCAGACCAGCGCTCACGCAGTTTTACCGGTAGGACCTTCCTCCAGGCGGTAAGCAGCGAGAAGGTTCGCTCCACCAATCTCAACTGCACGGTGATTGTGGATGTGAGGCACGACGGCTCGGAGCCCTGCGTGGATGTGCTTTTCGGTAGGCTTGAGTGGAAAGACGGGCAGGAGGGGAGGCAGGCAGCCCCTGCCCAGCCATTCCCGCGGTGCCTAACTCTTCTGTTTGAATCTTCCCCAGGAGATGGGCATCGCCTGATTATGCGCAGCGCCCACCTCACCGCTCAGGAAATGTTTGTTGCCTTTGCCTCCCATGTCCAGGCCAGAAGCTCTGCAGGGAACGGGGAGAAGTCAGAAGCTGGTACTGGGCGCTGACAGTGAGGAAGAGACCCACAAACTGATTTTGGCCTAGGACTAGAATACTTGCCTGAGAAGTCCTTGACTTAATCATTCAAGGACCAATTGGAGGGCCACTGAGAGGGTAGGGGCCAGGGGAGCTTCACCACTTCTGAGGCAAGATGGGGTGGGAGGGGTGAGGGCAACCTTTGAGGTTTTTTTCACTTCCCATCACTTAACTGCTTAACACTTTTGAATTTGGCTTTTCCCGTTACTTAACGTTCTTTTAAATTTTTCTTTTAAACCAATCTAGTGGTTTTTCTCAGTCCTTCTCTTACTTAGTAGCTTCTTTTCACTCTTAATTTACCCCCTTGTGGAAGCTTTCTCCTTCTTGGATCTTTTTCTTTTTCTAACCATAAAGATATTAATACTCTTGTCCTTCTTTTTCTCTTTATCCCTGTGGCATCCTATCTTCTGTGTCATAGACTTTTCATTTTTGCTTGGTTCTTCCCATCTTCTATCCTGTAGTAAGTTTACCCACTACCAGCTTCCTCCACAAGCCACCAACAAGCTTTTTGTAAAAACAGAATTGATAATTATACATATGCATATGTTTGCTTCTTTCGCCTGGCTTCCCCATAACCTTTTTGTTTGTTTGTTTGTTTGGGGTTTTTTTTGGTTTTTTGAGACAGGGTCTTACTATGTAGTTGAGACTGACCTAGAACTCACTATGTAGCTCAGACTGGTCTCGAACTCACAGCAATCCTCCTGCCTCAGCCTCTCGAGTGCTGGGATTATAGGCATGCGCTACCATGCCCAGCTTCCCCATACCTTTTTAAATGGCATTTCAGTCACCTGGACTGAAAGACACAGGTTTATCCTTTATTCTGTCCGCTTTCCCTGCATATTTAATCTATGAGTTAAAAATATTGTGTTAATTTTTAAAATCTCTTTAGCAGTTTCTCCATTCCCATTCATTCTCTTATATCACTGTTGCAGTTTCTTGTCTGGTTTTTTTCCTAAACATTTTTGCTACTTAATTTTATTTTTCCAAAGCACATGACTGTTTACCTCAAACCAATAGCTGTTTGACAAAACAGTGCCTGAAATGGTTTTTCATATGGGGTTAATGTCCATTAGTTTGGATCATGAAATGAATTTGGGGAATTAAATCAACCTTTAAAAAATAAAATAGCCTCAGAGTACATGTCACATGAAGTGGCAAGTATTCTTTCTGGAAACTATATAATTGTGTGCGTCTGTGTATTTGCATATATTTGATTATTTCTTACTGTGGATTATAGCAAAAATAAAAAAGAGCTGAAACTCCCTGTCATAGAGAACTTCAGAATGCCCAGCTAGGTGGGCAAAGAGCTTTTAGACACTGGCTGCTACTGATTTTGCCAAATACATTTTCCATGACCCTCCAATACCATCAACACTTCCCTGCCAAAAAGAGGATTCAAAGCATGTCTCCCTGGACTCCACCCACCTTTAAAAAAGAAAACTAGTGGAGGCAGTATAGCGCAATAACCAGCCAGAGTGCCTAGGATTGAAATTGCAGTTCTGCCCTTAGTAACTGTGTTACTTTGGACAAATTAATCTATCAGTGCCTGCTTCCTCATTTGCAAGTAAGGATCATAGTACAGTTGGCCCTTTATCCATGAGTTCTGTATCCTTGGATTCAACCGTCCTCAGATTGAAAATATTCAAGAAAAAAAATTGCATCTGTATTGAACATACACAGCCTTTTTTCTTTGTCTTTTTGGTTTTTTTGAGACAGGGTCTCACTTTGTAGTTGAGACTGACCTGGAACTCACTATGTAGCCCAGGCTGGTCTCAAACTCACAACGATCCTCCTGCCTCAGCCTCCTGAGTGCTGGGATTACAGGCATGAGCCACCACGCCTGGCTTCTTTGTCATTTTCTGCTAAACAGTACAGTATAAGATTTACATGGAATTAGGTATGAGTGATTTAGAGATAAACTGTGGGAGGATATATGTAGGTTATATGCAAATACAATGAATTTTTATATAAAGGCTTTGAGCAAGAGCCCTTTAAGGGATTTTTCAGAGGTTCTAGAACCAATCTTTTATGGATACTGAGCAATAATTACCTACTTTATAGGAATGAAAGGATTAAATGAAGTGCCTACAGGGGTGCTGGAAATAAAGCACCATTTAAGGAGCTTTATTCTAAAGTGAAAAGAACACTGACAACCTGCATTTGGGTCCTGGACTGTTACTTTGCACCATTATTTTTTTTCAGGGGTTTGAGACAGCATGTTGTTAATGTAGTTTAGGCTGGCTGGCCTCAAACTCTCAGTAATCTTGCCTCAGCCTCCCGAATGTTAGGATTACAGATGTGTGCCACCATGTCTAGCCCCTTGCACCATTCTTAATTACTAACATGTAAAAATGAGAATGGTTCAAAATGGATTGAATGAATGCTGGTAACATTTATAGATTATGATCTTGGGCGAGGTTGATTTGGGTCTTTTTGTTTTTTGGGTTTTTTTGAGACAGTACTGGGTACTCCCTGTGTTCTCCAGGCTGGCCTTGAACTCTTAGTGATACTCCTGTCTCACCCTCCAGAGTGCTGGTATCACAGATGCGACTATCATGCCCTAGATTGTAAACCTGAAGTTGGTGATTTTCTGTATGCCCAGCATCTTGTCTAGTATGATACAGGTGTGTAATACATGTGAATTTTCAGATATTTCACATCGAGTTTCTTGCTTATAGCTGTGATTAGTCTGGGATACAAAGAATAACTCAAACATATGTATGTACTACAACAGACATGTGGAACAAGTATAGTAGCAAGAAAGTAGGGCTGAGTACTGGGTTTGGTTAGGTGATTGTTCAGTAAGAAGTGTATATGTGCTGCACTCAATGAGTAAAGAGTGTACCAGTGGGGAGTAGGGTCAGAGGTCAGATTATAGTGAAATATAAGAGGGTATGTTCAATAAAAGTGTTATATAATGATAAAAAAAGAACTGAGATGTATTTCCCTATATACATGTACTACCCACAAGGAATGTAACCATGATGTTTTTTTTTTGTTTTTTGGGTTTTTTTTTTTGGTACCAGAGATCGAACTCAGGTCCTTGCACTTGTGAAGCAGGCCACTGAACCACTGAGATAAATCCCCGGCCCTGTTTTTTGTTTTTTATTTTTTTGTTTCTTTTGAGTCTGTCTCACTATCTAGTTCAGGCTGGCCTTGAACTCATGGAGATCCTCCTGCCTCAACGCCCCCAAGTGCTGGGACTACAGGTGTGTGCCACCACACTGGCTAACTTGTGATTTTTTAATAAAAAATTAAAATTGGAGAAAAAGGTAAAAACTAATTTATATTTAAATTTGAATACTGCACTCCAATATCTGATATGCATAATTTTTCTGAGTCATGAGAACTGTATTATGTATTACAATGTGATAATAATAGCATGATTAATAATAGGCATAGTCACAGAAGAAATTGGAAATATCCTTATCTTGCAGTTGGTAAATTGTGTTTTTTTTTGTTGTTTTTTTTTCATTACGTTTATTGGTACATTTTAGGTATACAATATGATGACATTCATCGTTGGGAATTTGTACCTTTACATGATATATCTTTGTTATTTTTCCCCATTCCCCTGCCCTCCCTTCAACCCCTCCACCCTTCCCTATTTACAAAGACTTTGTTTTCATTTTTTTCCTTTTCTCATATTTTTTCCTTTCCCTTTGTTCCTTCCCCTACTCCTCCCACTTCTTCCTCCCCTTCAGACCCTTTCTTTCTGTTTCACATTATCTATTATACATTTCATAACTATATATATTTTTTTCATAACTGTATTTTTTTAAAAGCTAAAATATGAGTGTAGGTAAGTGACGATAGCTAGAGGGGCATAGGCTATAGAACAGGCTGAGCTGGCTGTAGTGGCACACACCTGCAGTCCCATACTCTGGAGGCTGAGGCTAGAGGATCACCTCAAGTTTGAAGCCAGCCAGGGCTACACAGGGAGACCCTGTATCAAAACAGCTGAAGATGTAGCTAAGTGGTAGAGCACATGCTTACTGCCCTACGTAAAGCATGGTGTTTAATGCTTATTGTGTGTTTGCCACACACATAGTACAGAATAAGGTTTAGCATGGGATGGACTTCTTTATGAAAATACTTTTCTCAGTACTGGGGATTGAACCCAAGGTCTGTGCACTGAGCTACATCCTCAGCTTTTTTAATGGCTTTTTGAGACAGGGTCTTGCTAAGTTGTCTTGGCTGGGCTTAAATTTGCAGTCCTGCTTCAGCCTCCCCAAGTACTGGTGGAAACAGCTTTTATGTTATAGTCAGTGAGAAAGTAACTAGGATCTAAACGGCTCTCTGAACTACCAGCAAAGGTAATGCTGAAGCTTCTCAACCAACCTAAGGCACGTGTTACTTCTCTGTACATTTTTGTTGACCTAAGCCATCATTTGCTTAAGCTCTTGCTTTTGGGGACATACAGGGTTAAACACCTTCTATTAAGTACAAGCATCATCATTATAAGCCAAAGGCTTGTCTGATTTGCAGCCTGTGGGCCACTTTTTTTTTTTTTTTTTTTTTTTGATACAGGGTCTCAGTGTACAGTTTAGGCTAGTTTTGAACTCACTACGATAGTCCAGGCTGGCCTCGAACTCCTGGCGATCCTCCGCTCCTGACCTACTTGCCTTTTTTTATTCATTTATTTTATTTTCCTTTGTTTCTATACCAGGGATCAAACCCAGCACCTTGCACTTGCGAGGTAGGTGCAGTGCCACTGAGCCAAATCCCTGGTTACCCTTTTTAATGTTATTTTAAAAATATAGTAGGG